AATATAAAAAACACTAAAGGTAACAAGTGCTGAAGAGGATGTGGAGAAAAGGGAACACTTGCACACTGTTGAGGCGAATGTAGTTAACATAGCTATTATGGAAAAGAATGGAAGTTCCTCAAAAAATTAGAAATAGAATCACCATATGACCTAGCAATCCCGTTACTGGGTATATATCCAAAGGAAATGAAGTCAGTATGTTAAAGAAACTTCTGCACCTCCATGTTTTATTGCAGTACTATTCACAATAGTGAAGAAATGGAAACAATGTAAGTGTCCATTAAGAGATGGATGGATCAAGAAAATGTGGTACATATGCACAGTGGACTACTGTTCAGCTATGAAAAATAATAAGTCCCTGTCACTTGTGACAATGTGGAGGGAACTGGAGATCACATGTTAAAGTCAGGCATGTAAAGACAAGTATTGCGTGACTCACTCATTTATGGAGCCTAAAAAAGTTGATCTTCTAGGGGCTGAGGCTGCAGTTCAGTGGCAGAGCTCTTGCCTTGCAAATGTGAGGCACTGGATTCGATCCTCAGTACCACATAAAAATAAAATAAAGGCATGCTATCCATCCAACTACAAAAAACAAACAAACAAAAAAACAATAACAACAACAACAACAAAAGTTGATCTCCTAGAAGTTAAAAAAGTAGAATGGCGGTTACAAGAGGCTGGGGACAGTAGGAAGGGAGGGAGGTGCAGAGAAGGAAAGGTTGATGAATAGATAGTAAGTTACAGTTAAGACAGGATCAAGAAGCTCTGGGTGCTATTGCACAGTGTGGTGACTATAGGTAACACTTAGCTACTGTGTATTTCTAAAAGCTAGAAGAAAGGTGTTGAAAGCTTTTGCCACAAATGTTAAACGTTTGAGGAGATAAATGTGTTTCAACCTGATTTAGACATGATGCAGTGTGTACAGGTATCAAACATTAAATGGTACCCCATTAATATATATGTACAACTTTCATGTTTTGTGTATCAGTTAAAAATTTTAAAAGTATATAGGGTCATAAAGGAAATGGATTATACTGAAACACAGGACTGGAGGTGTAGCTTAGTGGTAGAGCATGTGCCCCATGTGTGAGGCCCTAGGTTCAATTCCCAGCACCAAAAATAAAAATGAATCAAATATAAAGAAACAAATTTGTGCTCCAATACATGTGTGCTTCTTTATTAGCTAAATAAGACCTACTACAGGGGTAATAGCCACTATAATGACCAAATAGTGATGGAACTGACAAGATTTACAGATATCTGTGATGAAAATATCCGATTCCATTTTGATGAAGCTGTGGGTTGTGCTGAACATTATTATGGCATATTGCTTACATTCATAGTAGAGGAAGGGCTGAATTTTAGTTAGGTGTATTTTTTTCCTATCCAAGTTCATGGACTACTGAATTCTCTCCAAGAATCCTTGATGAATCACAAGCTAAGAACTTCTATTTTATAATGTACTCATGTCTAGTGGAGAGTCTGGGCTATTCTTGGTCCTTTGTGTTGTTATAAAAGTACAGGTTGTTGATTTTGATTGGGATTACATTGACTATATAGATTGATTTGAAGTTTTAAAAATAGATCTGTTTATTTTCGTGTCTTCCAAACTTTGAACATTTGTTTTTCTACTTAGATATTTTATCTTTCTCAGTATTTTTATAGTTTTCTATAGTTATTAAATATCAGTCATTAGATTTATTCCTAGACACTTGCTATTTTTGATGCTATTTTAAATGACGACTTTAACATTTGTTTCATTTTGTGTTTATTGTTGGCATAAAGAAATACACTTGGGGCTGGGGATATAGCTCAGTTGGTAGAGAGCTTGCCTATATGCACAAGGCCCTGGGTTCAATCCCCAGCACACAAAAAACTTGGGGCTGGGATTGTGGCTCAGTGGTAAATAATTTGCCTAATTCGTTCAAGGCCATGGGTTTGATCCTCAGCACCACATATAAATAAATAAAAATAAATTCCATCAACAAATAAAAAAAAATTAAATTAAAAAAAAAGAAATACACTTGAAATTAAAAAAAAAAACACTTGATTTTGAATCCAGTAAACTTGCTAAATTTATTCATATATGTAGTCAAAATCATTTATGGATGAATTTTGTTTCTTCTTTTTCAAGATGTATATCTTTTATTTATTTCTATTGCTGTACACCAGACTTCTAGGATATTGTTACATAGAAATGGTAATAGTAATAGCATCCTTCATTATTTGCGTTTCTGATTTCCAAAGAGAAAGATTGACAGATAAATTTGATGTGTGATGTCAGTTACACTTTATCAAATTAAGAAAGCTTTCTTTTAGCCAGGCACAGTGGCCCACACCTGTAATGCCAGCAACTCAAGAGGCTAAGGCCAGAGGATCATAAGTGTGAGTCCAGCCTCAGCAACTTAGTGAGGGCCTTAGCAACTTAGCAAGACCCTGTCTCAAAATAAAAAATAAAAGAGGCTGGAGATGGGGGCTGGAGTTGTAGCTCAGCAGTAGAGCGTTTGCCTCCTACATGTGAGGCGCTGCGTTGGATTCCCAGGACTACATATAAATAAGCAAATAAAATAAAGGTCCATCAGCAACTAAAAAAAAGAGAGGCTGGAGGTGTAGCTCAGTGGCTCAGTAAGCACCTTGGTTCAATCCCCAGTACTGGAAGAAAAAAAAAAGATTTTTTTTTAATCTTCTTATTTGCCAATTATTTTATCATGAATAAATGTTGAATTTTTATCAACTATCTTTTCTACCTTCTGTTAATGAGAATGGTCATATAATTTTCCCCTTTAATCTGTTACTGTAGTAAATTGCATTGATTTAATTTTCTAATGTTAACCCAACCTTAAGCAGGAGTTCTCAACTTTAATAATCAGAATCACATAAAAAGTCTTTAAAAGTCTAGCTTCATTTGTGGTAAATGTTATTTTTAAAGGCTATGACTATAAAAATGTACAAAGTCTAATATTGTAATACTTGTGTTTTTATTTTTCTTTTGTTGTTGTTTCACATTGTTGTTGTTTAGTTAGATAAAAGAAATAAATCAGGTGCAGTGGTGCATTCCTGTCTTCCCAGCTGCTCAGTAGGCTGAGGCACGAGGATTGCAAGTTCAAGTCCAACCTGGGCGACTTAGCAGGACCTTGATTCAAAATAAAAAATAAAAAGGTTGGGCTGGGGATGTAGCTCAAAAGGTAGCTTGCTCACCTGGCATGCGTGGGTCGCGGGGTTCGATCCTCAGCACCACATAAAAATAAAATAAAGATGCTGTGTCCACCGAAAACTAAAATAAATAAATAAATATTTAAAAATTCTCTCTCTTTCATAAATAAATAAATAAATAGGGCTAGGATGTAGCTCAGTGGTAAAGCATTCCAATACCAAAAAGAATAAAATAAAAGTAAAAGAAATAAAACAATATAGACAGATAAAGCTGATGTCCCCATTTGTACTCTTTCCGGTTTCATTACCTTCTCTTCTCTGGACAGTTTCCCCTCATTCTAGTTTGTGTACACACACGCGCGTGCACACACATGTATGTTTGTTTGTTATCTTTGTTTTTTGCAGTGCTGGAGATCTAATCCAGGCCTGGAACATGCTAGGGAAGTGCTCTACCACTGAGTTACATCCCAGCCTTCTATATTTTTGTTTTTAAGCTTAATTGCTTTTGAAAGAATGTTATACCATGTGCTTTAAAAAAAAAAAAAACTTTATTTATTTATTTATTATGGTGCTGAGGGTCGAACCCAGGACCTTGCGAGTGTGAGGCAAGCCCTCTACTGCTGAGCCATGTGCTTTTAAATAGCACATGCACATGGTACAAAATTCAAAAGGAACAAGTTAAGTCCCATTTCTGCTTCTAGTTACCCATTTTCCTTTCTACAACACTACTTTTTTATATGTCCTCTTAGAGATATCTGACATATGTCCAGTTGTAGGGGTGGCCTTAAGTCTCTCCTCTACTCCCAACAGGTGCTATGCTGTGGGGACTGTTCTCCACTCAACTGTGTCCATTTAACAATCATATTGGGGCCGTGGATGTAGCTTAGTGGTAGAGTGCTTGCCTAGCATGCTCCAGGCCAGGCCTGGGATCTGAGCCCTGGCAATGCCAAAAAAAAAAAAAAAAAAAAATGTCAACCATTTGTTGAGTGCTATTTTCTAGGATCTATGCTATTTGCTTTATATAGATCTATGGGTGCAAGATTCAGCTCAGTTGGTAGAACCCTGGCCTAGCATGCACCAGGCCCTGTGCTCATTCTTAGCACCGCCAAAATAAACAAAAATAAAAAGCATATTGGAGGGGTAGAGCTGTAGCTAAGTGGTAGAGCACTTGCCTAAAACATGTGAGGCACCAGCTTTGATTCTCAGCACCGCATATAAATAAATAAACAAATGAAATAAAGGTCACACCTATAATCCCAGCGCTTGGGAGGCTGAGGCAGGAGGATCACAGGTTCAAAGCCAACCTCAGCAATGGTGAGATGCTAAGCAACTCAGTGAGATCTTGTCTCTAAATAAAATACAAATAAAAGCATTTTGGACTACTGGACATCATTTCTTTTCAATGTATATAATTCAACCCTGAATAATGTTCTTTTACATTGATTTGATTTGATTTTTTTTTTTTGGTTCCAGGGATTGAACCCAGGGCCACACATGAGCTAAACATTTGCTCTATCACTGGCTACCTCCCTCAGTCCCTGATGTGTTATTTTATTTAGTTGATGTTCTGTTTATGGATATGGAGGCAAGCTGTTTCCACTCTGCCATTATAAACAATGCTGCAATGAATAATCTTCTATATTATCTTTGGGAAAATGTGAAGTAGAATTGCTAGTATAAAATTTTGATAGATAACACCAAATGGTCTCCACAGGGGTTTACCAATTTTTATTCCTATCAACAATATATAGAAGTAACAGTTTTCCCCCATACTCTTGACAATACAGTATTTTCAAATGTTTTAATCTTTACCAGTCTGAAGGTTAAAAAGTTACATCTTATTATCATTTTATTTTGCCTTTATTTTAAGAGGTTGAATATCTCTTTATGTTCAAAAAGTCATCAAAGTCTTTATGACCTTTTCAAAGTCCATTTGTGTTTTCTCTGTGTGGTCTATTTTGTCTTTTGCCCATAATTCTATAGGATTATGCATTTCCTGCTGATTTGGAAGAGCTGTATGCATATAAAGAGATTAACTCTTTACCTATGATATGTACTAGAAATATATTTTTTCATGTGGCTCTTCTTATGACTTTATTTGGTTTTTATCCTACTTAATGTATCTCTTTTTTCTGAAGTTTCTTTTCTTTAAATTTATTTCACGGCTTCTGGGTTTTATGTCATGCTTCCTCACTCTAAGGTTAAAAAAACCATTTCCAATATTTTCTTCTAGTACTTCAATTTAAAATAAAAATGTAGTTATTTTTGATCTATCTGGAATTTTCTTTCATGCAAGAAATGGGAAAACGAATCCACTTTATTTTTCCCGAAATAGCTCCTAAATTGTCCTTTAAGATTAATAATCTATCTTTTTTCTGGAGAGTTTATTTTTAAAGTAAGAGACAATATTTAAAATGAAGAGGGGAAAAAAAAAGAAAAATGGTATCATAAAACCCAGATAAATAACACAGCATTTTTATTAATTAACTGCCTGATGCTGTTCTAGAATACACTTTACTCCAGAGAGCTTTTTCCTTGCTTTTTTTTTTTCCCTAAGTACTGGGGATTGAACCCAAGGGTGCTTTACCATTGAGCTACATCCTCAGCTCTTTTCATTTTTTTATTTTGAGACAGGGTCTCCCTAAGTTGCTAAGGCCAGTTTTGAATTGCGATCCTCCTACCTTAGCCTTCTGAGTCACTAGAACTACAGGTGTGTGCTACCACACCTGGATCTACCATCTTAAATGTATTATTTGTTTTGTTTTTGTTTTTGTAGTACAGGGTATTGAACTCAGGGCTTTGTACTTACTAGGCAGCTAAATCTTCAACCTTTTTTAAATTTATAATTCTATTTTGAGCATGGTCTCACTAAGATGCCAAGGCTAGGCTTGATTTTTTTTTTAATTTATGAATTTGATCTTTATAACACTTATTAAATAAGCAGCCATAACATGAAGCGGGGAGTCCTGTAATGCAAATATATGGTATCCAAACCTGACACAGAATGAATTCATACAATGGCCTTGAACTTTTGATCCTCCTTCCTCAGCCTCTGGATTAGCTGAGTTTATAGGAATGTGCCACCGCAACCAACTTAAATGTATTGTTTAATAAACATCCAGTAAAATTTGCTTTTTTTTTTTTTGTACAGTTCTATTAGTTTAAACAAATGCATAGTATCTTGGCCACCATATTTAAGATAGAGAACAGGCCCATCACTTCTACATACAGACATTTACAGTGGTTCAGCTAACAATTTTTCATCTTCAGGATGGTGCAAAGCAATGCACATTCAGTAGAAACTGTACATGGAATTTTGAATTGGATTTCTTCCTGGACTCGAAATACGCAGCCTCATCTTCTCTCCAGATGCTGGGGAGAATGCCGCTCTGGGTCAGCTGTGTGATCATAAGGGAAACCACTGATGCTCCACAGTGCACTGTATGGCTGTACTGGGTTGCTCGGAAGTTTAGGTGCATTTTCCAGCCCAGAGCGGTGGCCCACACTTATGATCCCTGCTACTTTGGAGGCTGAGGCAGGAGGATCACAAGTTTGAGGTCAGACTGGGTAATTTAGTGAGTGAGACTCTGTTTCAGAATAAAAAGTAAAAGGAGTTGGGAATGTAGTGGTAGTACCCAAGCACCAAAAAATGGGAAATAAAGAAAAGAAAAATGCATTTTCTACTTATGATATTTTCACCTCGTGGTGGGTTGGTGAGCATGTAGCCTCCTCATACCTAGAACATCTGTGTTCTGTCCTGCTGCTTTCTCCCACAACCCTGCCCCTGATACCCACTGCTATGTTTTCAACCCAAATCCACCCATTCAGAATTTCTGGGACTGGGTCCTCCATCTAGGTGATGAGGGTCCTGCAGGTGATTCTGATTTGAATCAATTGGAAACCATTGCCTGAGAATATTGCTTCATAACTGGCAAGAACTTGGTTCTTGCTTGGTTCCCTGGAGTCTAGACTGTGACCTGTGAGCAGTCAGAGGCCTCAGACTAGTAAAAACAACCCTTCCTGTGTGCTTACTACCTGACAGGCACTGAGTCAAGCACATTTAACATGCTGTCTCTCACTCTTCATAGTAGTTCTGGGAGGTTAAATCTTTCATTCCCATTTTATAGATGAGGCAACTGAGGCTAGAGATAGAGATTAAGTACTTTGCCCAGCTTTTCATAGCCAGGAACCAAGATTTTGGAGCCAGGCTAATTTGCAGTGCCCATGATCCTGGCCTTTCCACTGTGTCACCTCTCTCCAATAGGGTGGTTACCTGCCCCCACCATGCCCAGCCTGACAGTGTGACAGTTGTCCATGCTGGCTGTCATGTCCTCAGAAGATTCTCCCAGTATAACTTCTTACTTGATTTGTTGAGCTCCTGGAGCAGGGGTGATTGAGGAGAGGCTAAGGGGACTGAAAGCTGAATGAGGCCAGCTCCTGGAGAGAGCAGGGGAGAGGCCTGGGCCAGGTGGGGCTGCCAGGAGACCTCTGCCTGATTCTGCCTGTCTTTCCTCCCTTTGCACTGGACCGAGCCTCCTGTGTTTCTCTCCATCTGATCTCCTGTTTCCTCCTCTGGCTCTGGAGTTCCTGGCTCCTCTGACTACCTCTTCTTAAGCCCCTACCTCTTCTCTCTCTCACCTTAGCTTGGTAAGAACAAGTGTTCTGGAGGCTGGGTAAGGGGAGACCATTCTGGGTTCTGGTGAATGGGCCCTGGGAGGAGTGGGGGGTAGGGTCTCATAGCCTCCTGTTCTGGAAGAATTCTGTGGAAGGGTTCAAAAACACTCTGAAAAGGTGATCCCTCCAGGGTACTCAACCAGAGGCACTGCCATTCCCTAGCAGGGAATTTGGAAATGGCATCTGGTTTTAAAATTTTGATGGGATTACAGTGTACATACAGACTAGAGCATAGATCATGATTTTCACAAGATGAACATACTCATGTAACCAGAACGAGATCAAGAACTAGAATATTCCCAGCATCCCAGAAGCTCTTCTTCAAGCCCTCCACTAGTTGCTACCCCTGGAGTGAGTGAGTGGGGGCATCTTTTGTTTGTCACAGTTACTTAAGGGTTCTGCTGGCATTTAGTAGGCAAGGTTAAGGGATGCTAAATGCCTTTCAATGCACCATACAGTCCTGAAGCACAAAGAATTGTCCTGCCCAGATGTCCTGTTGAAAAATGCCACGTCTGACAGGTCTGAGCAGTAATGGCCTGCAGTGTGGCAAAGGCTTGGGGACCAAGCGGTGCAGCTGTGTTAGTGGATCAGTAAAGACGGGTTTCACTGTAATAAGCCCACACTGTCACCCCTGCCTAGGCCTCCGGAATGCCCCCCGATGCTGGGCAGTGATCCAGCCCCTGCTGTGTGCTGTGTACATGCCCAAGTGTGAGAATGAACGAGTGGAGCTGCCCAGCCGCACCCTCTGCCAGGCCACCCGAGGCCCGTGTGCCATTGTGGAGCGGGAGCGAGGCTGGCCTGACTTCCTGCGCTGCACCCCTGACCACTTCCCTGAAGGCTGCCCGGTGAGTTGTCTATGGAGCAGGATCTGCGATGTCTGGCCTAACATAGGAAAGGGTCTGGCAGGATGCAGAGGAACCAGAGCCTTCTTTCCTGGGGACCTCAAGTCTACAGCCGTGGGAGCCATGAGTCACAAACCCAAACTGCAACTCACTGGCTAGACCAATTTATCAGGGTTTCTCTACTGATCCAAGATAATAAATTTAGCAAAAAAAAAAAATTTTTTTGAGCACCCACTTTGTTAGGTGTAGGGAATTTACAGGAGTCATGGATGAGAGGAGACTGTCTTTAGGGAGTTGATCATACAGCTGGAGACACCAAGACAAGGGGGTAAGATCTAGAGGTCTAAACTGATAATAATAGTAAGAATGATAGTAATAATGCTAGTTATTATTTAGTACATGCCAAATACCATGATAAGCACTTTACATCTATTAATTTAACCCTTAAACTCTACTGTGTGGTAGGTACTACCATCTTATAGATGGGAAAGCTGAGGCACCGAGTGGTCAACAGGTGGTCAGTTAATTACCCAAGCCTGCACAGCCACTGAGTGGCTGTTTGAGTCCTGGAATGGGCCTCCGACACCACACTCTGCCCCTGACACCTTTTCCTGAAGAAGAGGCTCATCCCTGATCTGATCTCCCTTTGCCACTGCCTTCTTCCCTTCCCTGGTGCCAGAATGAGGTGCAGAACATCAAGTTCAACAGTTCGGGTCAGTGTGAAGCGCCCTTGGTGCGAACAGACAACCCCAAGAGCTGGTACGAGGATGTTGAGGGCTGCGGGATCCAGTGTCAGAATCCACTGTTCACCGAGGCCGAGCACCAGGACATGCACAGCTACATTGCAGCCTTTGGTGCTGTCACCGGCCTCTGCACGCTCTTCACCCTGGTCAGTCACAAGGGAGGACAGGTCATGCTTTGAGTACAGGTGTTCCCTCCTCCTGGAAACAGGAAAGGAGCATGGGGCTGGGCTTGGGGGGGGAGGGGGCACCCCAGGGAAGGGTCATGATGGAAGAGCCTGGGGTTTAGATAAGGGTGTCCGTGGCAGCAGAACAACCCTCACCTGGCAGAACGGCCACTCTCTTCCAGGCCACCTTTGTGGCTGACTGGCGGAACTCCAATCGCTACCCTGCAGTGATTCTCTTCTACGTCAATGCATGCTTTTTTGTGGGCAGCATTGGCTGGCTGGCCCAGTTCATGGACGGTGCCCGCCGGGAGATCGTGTGCAGAGCAGATGGCACCATGAGGCTAGGGGAGCCCACGTAAGTGTCTTGAGGACCCAGAGGTGAGGACGATGGAGGAAAACTGTAGTGGGCACTTCCCACAGAAGGGATAGGTTATACCTGAAAGCGGGATTTCAGGGAAGGATTCATCTGGGTTTGGATTCCCCTTGTTGAGCCTTGGCTTCTGCCTCAAAACCTGGATTTAAAGCAGTATCTTCTAGAACCCCTTCATGTGACCTGGGTCCTGTCCTCAAGCCCAGGGACCCTCCAGACCTTAGCAGCCCAGGATTTGGGGACAGGGTGGAGAGATTTGGTAGAGGGAGTACAGACTGACCTTCCCATGTGACACCCACATATTTGCACAGCTCCAATGAGACCCTGTCCTGCGTCATCATTTTTGTCATCGTGTATTATGCCCTGATGGCTGGTGTGGTCTGGTTTGTGGTCCTCACCTATGCCTGGCACACTTCCTTCAAAGCCCTGGGCACCACCTACCAGCCACTCTCAGGCAAGACCTCCTACTTCCATCTGCTCACGTGGTCACTCCCCTTTGTCCTCACCGTGGCAATCCTCGCTGTGGCCCAGGTATAGTGACTGGCGGGGGCTGGCGACCTGAGTGGGATAGTCTTGCGAGAGGGACCAGCAACTGAAGGTCCCTCCCACACTTTCCTGCTGCAGGTGGATGGGGACTCCGTGAGCGGCATCTGTTTTGTGGGCTACAAGAACTACCGTTACCGGGCTGGCTTCGTCCTGGCCCCAATTGGCCTGGTGCTCATTGTGGGAGGCTACTTCCTCATCCGAGGTGAGTGAGGACTAGGCCAAGGCCAGTGGGACCACACGTGTGCCGAAAGCCTGCTTTGTGGAAGTAGGAACAAGGGTCACCAGCTCTGCTACCTGCACACTGAGACTGCAGCTAGCTCATCCCAGTCCTTGGTGCAGTGTAGAAGAAGGTGACCTTTAGACAGGTACAGTACCATGAGCTCTTGCTATGTGGCAGTGCCTTTGTATTGTCCAGAAAAATGTACCCCTTCCTCTAGAGCCCTGACCAGGCTTATTGAGTGGAACTGAGACTGCAGTCCAGCCCCTGCCTCCCCTTGGCAGGGTACAGTTATGTGATGACCAGCCTGGGTAACCCACTCTGCCCACATGGATCCACCTGTGGCCCTTGGTTGTGCGTGCTGTCTTTAATTTTATACTGTCAGTCTTTTGGAGTTTGGTTTCCATCTCCTTCCTACCCCAACGCACACATAGTTTTCACAACATGCACAGATTTACTCGTCCCTAACTTCCCTGTCTCAATCTGCCACCCCACATTGAGCTTCCGTATCTGGCTTATTTTCGTTGGGTTTTGTCAGTTTCAGTTTCCTCCCACTGAACAGTCAGCCTTCTGTTCCTCCTCTTTCCTCCCTTTCTGGCAGTGTCTGTGCCTCTGATTTATGTCTCATATCTGTGCTGTCCTGTACAGTAGCCACTAGCCACCTGCATTGCCGCTAGTCCAGATTGAGATGTGTTATAAGTGTAAAATACACACTGCCTTTCAAAGAAAAGGCACCAAAAAGGGGGAAAATATCTGTTAATGATTTGTTATGTGGATTATATATTGGTGCGATTACATTTTGGATATATTACATTTATAAAACACATTGAAATTAGTTGTTTTTTTTTAATATACTTACTAGAAATTTTAAGATTATATGTGTGTCCCACAGCATTTTCTCTCCAACAGTGCTGCTCTTTTCTAGTTGTAGATAGACACAATATCTTTATTTTTCTGTGGTTCTGAGGATTAAACCCAGTGCCTCACACATGCAGGGCAAGCACTGTACCACTGAGCCACACCCCAGCCCAACGGTGCTGTTCTTGAGTTGGTTTTACGCCTTTTCCATCAGAAAACTTTGACCTGGCTGCTTTCCTTAGGAGCAGTAGGGTCAGGACAGGGGCTCCCTCTTTCTCTCTGGATGCTGCCGCTGTGTCATTCCAGCCCATAGCAGAATTGCTATTAGCTGTTCTCCCGTTCTCCAGTGTCTCCAGTCCTCCAAGCTTTAAGTCAGCACAGGTGTAATCAGACCCAGGACTCTGGGGCCCTGGGACCCTCCCCTATATTCCCGTCCTTCTCAGGAGAGTGGCCTCACTCTGCTAATCCATGAGGTCCCTGTTCTGTTCAGGAGTCATGACTCTGTTCTCCATCAAGAGCAACCACCCGGGGCTGCTGAGTGAGAAGGCTGCCAGCAAGATCAACGAGACCATGCTGCGCCTGGGTGAGTGGCTGAGGTCTGAAGTTCTGGCCAGCCCAACACTGTACCCTCCTGGGGCTCAGGAGCCTCCAGGGTGCAGTAATGCAGTGGGGACAAGTTAGCAGCCATGGGACAAGGACAAGGTATGTGTGTGTAGGTGGTGGTACTGGTGGCAGCTTGAAAGAAGAGGGCCTTCTCAGATGGGAGAAGCAAGTTGAGTCAAGACAGCTCCATGTCCCCACTTCTCCCATGGGAGCCTTCCAACATTTGCCTCACAGGTCCTTCTTGCTTTATTTTGGAGAATACCCTTCTTGACCTGAGCCCAGTATGAACTCACCCCATCCTCTATTGCTCATTAGGGCAGACACACTCCCCCATACTGCTCCAGTGTCTGACCGGTAACGTCCCATTATGTCCCTGTCCTCTACAGGCATTTTTGGCTTCCTGGCCTTTGGCTTTGTGCTCATCACTTTCAGCTGCCACTTCTACGACTTCTTTAACCAGGCTGAGTGGGAGCGCAGCTTCCGGGACTATGTGCTGTGAGTGTGGGGACTGGGTTTGGAGGTGGCAGTGGTGGGAGCTGGAGCCCTGGCTGTAAGGACAGCATCCCCTTTGCTGTGCAGCAGGAGTCTGCCAGGTCCCTCAACAGATGAGGCTAATAGTGTCTGGGCCCCCAAGACATTAGCTGCTCTGTGCTGTGCCAGACCTGGGAAAGAGCCTTCAAGTGCCTGTTCAACTCTGCCCTTCTACATGCACCCCTTGGCTGGCTGATGGGATGGTGTGTTTGTAACTGTTAGGAAGCCTTTTCAAGCCAGGTGCAGTGGTGCACACCTGTAATCCCAGCAGCAACGGAGGCTGAGGCAGGAGGATTGCGAGTTCAAAACCAGCCTCAGCAAAAGCAAGACGCTAAACAACTCAGTGAAACCCTGTCTCTAAATAAAATACAGAATAGGGCTGGGGATGTGGCTCAGTGGTCATGTGCCCCTGAGTTCAATCCCCGGTACCAAAAAAATAAAAATAAAAAAGAAGGCTTTTCATCCTTTGCTTTCTTTGACCAACTCAAGGTTGTACCTTCTACAGCTTTCTCCATAGATCCCTGCACAGGAGTAGATACCTGTCTATGAAAGGTTAACAACCTGTTCCGGTTTGCTAGTTGTACCTGTGCTTTTTTGTGTATGAATGAGGATGATTAGGAGAGAGTGAGTCATCTCAACTTCCTCAAGTGCAGCACCTGCCATTATAAGGAGCAACAGTTAAAATGCCCATTAAAGTGGACATTTGTCTGGACTGCTTCAGGCTCATTTTTAAAGGTTCCAGCTTCTAGCCTGGGAAGTTTCAACTGTGAGGGACTGGGGATGTAGCTCAGTGATAGAGCACTCATGAGTGAGTCCCTGGGTTTGATTCCCAGTCCCCAAACAAAACCACCCAAGAGTACCATGAGAATTGTACTCTTTCCAAAGTCTTTGGATTGATAGTCTGGATCCCTACCCATGGGACTCAGAAAGACTCAACTGTCAACCATCCCTCACCACAGGTGCCAGGCCAATGTGACCATTGGGCTGCCTACCAAGAAACCCATTCCTGACTGTGAGATCAAGAATCGCCCCAGCCTCCTGGTGGAGAAGATCAACCTGTTTGCCATGTTTGGCACTGGTATCGCCATGAGCACCTGGGTCTGGACCAAGGCCACACTTCTCATCTGGAGGCGCACCTGGTGCAGGTGGGATCAGCAGCCAGCTCATCCTGTCCCTCCTGTCTTAATCGCAGCCTCAGGTCCCCACCTTTAGGCTTTGTCTAGTTCTTCCTGCACACGGTCTTGGACAGCTGTGTTTTCCAAAACAGGGCACTGAGCTGCCTGAGGTCCTCTTCTCAGTGGCTATCCACCGCCCCCTGGTGGCGCCGCCTGTCCTTGGGCGACCTGAGGTATGAGTGTGGACCAAATACTGAGCCAGTGGGCAGCATTTGGTGAAAGTTGATGACTTGACAGCAGGGTACACAGGAGCCTTGTGTTCTAGGTTCACTTCTTTGCAGGGAAGGTCTCTACTCCTTAGAGTCTTTGAGGCATTTAAGACTCTCAGAACTTCCTAACCTAGAGGGAATGGGACGCTATCTTTCACAAGATTTGGTGGTGAGTGGCGGCTCCTCCACTCCCCTCTCCACACTTTCTCAGGTTGACTGGGCAGGGTGATGATGAGCCCAAACGGATCAAGAAGAGCAAGATGATTGCCAAGGCCTTCTCTAAGCGGCGGGAGCTGCTGCAGAATCCAGGCCAGGAGCTGTCCTTCAGCATGCACACTGTCTCCCATGATGGGCCTGTGGGTGAGCCTGGCCCTGTCCTCCCTCGAGCCACTTAACCTCGAGTGCCCAGCTGCCTCCCCTCCCAGGACACTGGATGTTTGGCAGACTGTTCTTCCTTCTCCCACTCACACACTCATTCTTTTCTAGTCCACCTCACCTCTCTGAAGGCCTCTCTTTCTCCTCTGTTCCTGTTCATGGTCTGTGAGGGTTCCCCTCTCTCCCCCTTCTTCTTCTTCTTCTTTTTTTTGGTACTGGGGATTGAAATCAGGGGCACTCCACCACTGAGCCACATCCCTAGCCCTGTTTTGTATTTTATTTAGAGACAGGGTCTCACTGAGTTGCTTAGCACCTCACTTTTGCTGAGACTGGCTTTGAACTCGTGATCCTCCTGCCTCAGCCTCCTGAACCACCCAGGATTACAGGCGTGCGCCACCACACAGGGCTCTCTCCCCATTCTCTTCCTTTTCCATTTGCTCTCTGGGCCAGAGTAAGCCAGGGTTCTAAGACTAGATTTCTGACTGTTGTTTAAGCCCTTTGGGGACTTGAAGCTGCTCCCCTCAGATTCTGAATGCATAGATCTCTGTGGTTATAGACCTTTCTCTGACAACTGGAGGGGGAGGGACTAACTCAGGGGAATGGTGCTAGATAAGGAAGGCGCCACTGAGAGGGACTGGGAAGTCACTATTCCATCTTTCTTTCCATCTCCAAAGCGGGTTTGGCCTTTGACCTCAATGAACCCTCAGCTGATGTCTCCTCTGCCTGGGCCCAGCATGTCACCAAGATGGTGGCTAGGAGAGGAGCCATACTGCCCCAGGATGTGTCTGTCACTCCTGTGGCGACTCCAGGTATGAGAGTTTAGGCTTCTGTAGGGAGGTGGTGGGCATAGATGCTGGGACTGGAATACCAGGCACTACCAGAGGGGGAGGAGGAAGGAAAGGTCCCAGAGGATCTGAAGTCAAGGCACTGGAAGTCCAGAGCTCAAGAATAGGGGTGCTGGGAGCTAGGGGTATAGGTAGAACACTCAATGATAAAGTGCTTGCCTAGCATGTGCAAAGCCCTTGTTCAATCCCCAGCACCACACACACACACATGCGCACAGAGAATAGGGATGCTGGGGAGGGAAGGGTGTTGAGGACAAAGCCAGGGCCCCAGGCAGTGTTCTCTCTCCTGACAGTACCCCCAGAAGAACAAGCCAACCTGTGGCTAGTTGAGGCAGAGATCTCTCCAGAGCTGGAGAAGCGCCTGGGCCGGAAGAAGAAGCGAAGGAAGAGGAAGAAGGAGGTGTGCCCCCTGGCACCAGCCCCTGAGCTTCATCATCCTGCCCCTGCCCCTGCCACCAGTGCTGTTCCTCGGCTGCCTCAGCTCCCCCGACAAAAATGCCTGGTGGCTTCAGGAGCCTGGGGATCTGGGGAATCCTGCCGACAGGGAGCCTGGACCTTGGTCTCCAACCCCTTCTGCCCAGAGCCCAGTGTCCGTCAGGATACATTTCTCCCCAGTGTTCCAGCCCCCACGGCCTGGGCTCAGGGCTGCCGCCAGGGTCTGGGGCCCATTCACTCTCGCACAAACCTGATGGAGGCAGAGCTCATGGATGCAGACTCGGATTTCTGAGCCTGCAGAGCAGGGACAGGAAAAAGGAACAAATACTGTTCCAAGGCTCTTCTTCCTCTCTGAGAGCGCTTCCCTGGATCTCATCTTCCAGAGAAACTATGGGCCAAGTGCCCTCCCAGGAGAGTTCTGTGTGTTTGGCTTAAAGCAGCAGGACTGTGGGAAAGAGCCAGACTTCTCCATGGGTAGGTCTCACCCCAAGGGCAGGGCCCTGGAGCTCAGGGTCTTTATTTCTGTCCCACCAGCTGGAGTCTGGCAGCAATAGTCTCCAGCAGAGCTTGTGGTAGGGCAATAATGGCAGAGGCAGGGGTGACAGTTCTCAGAGTAGATTGTGGTGGCTAGGGAGGCAGCCATGTCCTGTCTTCCAGATGGGGGCTGGCTGCCCTTTTCTGTGCCAACAGGTGCCCTTTCCTGGCACTCTCAGACCAAAAGTGTTTATTGTGTCATTTGTCCTTTGCCTAAGTGGGAACAGGGCTCCCTTCTTCATTTAAGGTGGTCGTGAGGCCAGAAGTGCTTACTGCCACACGGGCCTCTCTAAACAGGTAGCCCTACCCCAAACCCACTTTCTCTTCTGCATCCTCCTTTCCCCATCTCATCTCATTTCTACCAGGCCAGACTCTTCCGGCTTCCTATTTGTTGATTAGGACCCAGAACTGCAAGCACGTGTGAACACACACACACACACACACACACACACACACACACACACACATTGAGCTCTATCTCTTGGTGAGAGATTGATCCAGCTGTAGAGCCTTGGCCTGGTAAGGAGTGACTTGGAGCCTCTGGGCCCCTGAGAGACATGTTATGTCTTCTTCATGACCATCCAGTGGGGATGGATCCTTTGACTTGAGGGGCTATCCTGGGAAGCTGCCTTCAGCCAGGCAGGAAAGCTTCTTTCAATTTCCACAACTGGTGGGGTAGGAGATTCCCACCTTTCATAACCTCCAACCATGTCCCCAGCACCCCATATTCAAGACCCAGTAGCTGGAAACCTTAGAAGTTGGCTGGGTTTTAGGTTGGGGGATAGAGATGGGAAGAAGAAATATGAAAAATAAATAAAATGTTTTTGTATAAACTCCAGTGTGTTTATTTTCCTTAGCCCTAGTTTTGTCCTATTTACCCAGTCCTGATCACTTGTCTTCCACGTTCCTCCTAAGGCTCTTCTGAAAGGCCAAGAGCTTGGGGCTGATGAGATCAAGACTGACAGCCAGAGGTTGAGCTATGTCAGCTTAATGTGTCCTCCCTGGCTAATTGATTCTCTATGAACAAAAGCTCCTTGATGTCCACAGCTAGTTCATTGAGTACTAAGCATAAGATAATCGAGCACAAGCATGCCGCTCAGCCCTGGAATGAAGATAGGAAGCAAGCATCCCCTGGGGTCTACCTCAGAACCTCATGCCATCTGCCAGGGGATGTCAGTTTTGCCGGTGCATTCTAATCCAAGATGCCTCCCTGGGTCAAAGTCATGGAAGCCCATTAGTCTCACTTCCTCCAAATAACGTCAATAGAAGACTCAACTGAGTTACAAGGATTGTGTTAGGGAGATCTGTAGAGAATCTACAGACTTGGAAGGATATTGTGGAGTGTATTTTATGTAGTACCCTTTCCTAACTGGTGCTCATGTGATAGGGACTTGTGTTTTGACCAGAATCAGATTCCAGTGGGGGAGGAAAGGGTACTACCAATATACTGATTTTACCCTAGTTATTTAATTTTTTGCAGGACTAGAGAGCATCAGGGATGCTCTACCACTGAGCTATCTATATCCCAACTGTTTTTATTTTTATTTTGAGGCAGAGTCTTGCCAAATGCCTAGGCTGGCCTTGAATATGTGATCTGCCTCAGCCTGAGTAGCTGGGATTACGGGGGTGCCTCACAGTGCCCAGCTCTATCCTAGGCACTTTATATGTGTTCATTATACCAATAATAGCTAACTCTTACTGAATGCTGGCTAGGAGCTCTTTGGAGATTGAGTGAGATAATGCTTATAAGTTTCTTGGAAGGGCACCTAGCCAGTAATTAGTAATGCTGGGATCCAAGCAGAGTGCTCTGGCTCCAGTAGCTCTTAGTGACCGTGGTAATGATCCAATCAGAAGAGCTAGTTTTATGAAAAAAAAAAAAAAAAAAAGCTCAGTGAAACAAAATAACATGCACACAACCTAGTAGCTAGTAAGACCCCAGGGTCTTCCTGATCCTGAAGTCCAGGCTCTTTTCACTCTCAGTTCTGACCTTTTATCTTTCTTCCTACTCAGATTTCCCATTTTGTGTTCCTCCTAGCTACCCCATACCCCCTTGAGCTTGCTCATCTTGTTCATTCTTGCTGCTACTGTTTCTCTCAACAGTATTATAGCTATTTTTAAGCCTTTATCCACAACAGTATTATATTTCTTCTTTTTGTCTCCATGAACATTCAACTACTTGTTTCCGTGCCTCTGTCCTTTCTTTAGGAGGATTACTTGCGTAAAAGATGAGGGATGGAGTTCAATCTGGGTCTTAAAAAGCTGAGAAATGTTACCTCAGTGTGGCTGCAAAGGCAGACTATGACCACTAGGGTTCAGTGCGATCCCACCTTTTATCAATGCAGGCACTGGGCTGCTGCTGAATGTCCAAGACCATGAAAACCTCACAACCAAGAAGATAGGGGCATCAGATTGCAGAACCGAGCCATAGTGCCACCCTTTAACCAAACTCCAGAATTAGAATTAGATTCTTGAAGAAACACCACAGGATCTAAAAAGAGCCTTATTTGGGGATTCTGTTGCTACAGCCCTGAGATTCACCTTTTGGAGACTGCCCTCAGCCGCTCCCTTGGGCTTTGCTACTTTCTCAAAGCAGGGTGTCCAGTCCCCCAAGTACTGAAGTCTGCCCATAGTCCTAGCAAGCAAAGTGTAACAGAATTGGTAAACTCCCTTTTAACCATCCCCAACAACTGCCCACTTTCCCACTTCTTGAAAGGAAAACAACTGTTTGTGTTTCTTAGGCTTCCTTCTAATTCATTTTTATACTTTCTTATATGTATATGAAGCTATGTACCTATAAACAATTTACATACTGCTTTTTTTTTTCTGTGTATGTATGGGGTGCTGGGGATTGAACCCAGAGATGCTCTACTACTGAGTTACACCCCCAGACTTTTTTTATTTTGAAACAGAGTTTTGCTAAGTTGCTGAGGCTGAACTCAAACTTGTGACCCTTCTGCCTTAGCCTCTTGAGTCACTGGGATTACAGGTGTATTCCACCACACCAAGATTTTAATTTAATCTAAATTACACATGATATACTTTGAAAAGTCAAATAGGTGGGGCTGGGGTTGTGGCTCAGCAGTAGAGCGCTCTCACCTAGCACATGTGAGGCCCTGGGTTGGATCCTCAGCAAGAGGGTAATTAAATAAATAAACAAACAAAATAAAGATATTGGGCCCAACTACAACTAAAATATAAATATTTTAAAAAAGGTAAAATAGTTGTACAAGCTTCTTCCCCCTATCCCATTTTGGGGTTTGAACCCAGGGGAGCTTTATCACTGAGCTATGCCCCCAGCCCTGTTTCACAAGTGTTGTTACTTAAAACACCTGTCTTGTTATTCCATCCTACCACCTACCTCATTATTTCTTGTCCTGGGAGCCAATTACTTTATTTTAGATGATCCTTATGGTGCTCATTTCTGTCTGAATAACATGATTATAATGCTACCTCTTGGATGTTTTAGGCATTATCGTTTAATTTCCTCATATAGAGTTAAGGATTTAGCTTTTTCTCCCTCTTTGCCTATAAGGAGGAAAAAGAGAGGTGGAGGTTAGGGGAGGAGCCAGTAGTAATAGTTTTGAAAACTGGATAGCAAATGAGTGCTCATTTAGTAGACTTGAAAAAGCTGAAGTTTGCCAGACACAGTGGTGCATGCCTAAAATCCCAGCTACTTGGGAGGGTGTGGCAGGAGGATCACAAGTTTGAGGCCAGCCTTAGCAATTTAATGATATTATGTCTAAAAAATAAATAAAATTTAAAAACGGCTGGGGAATATAGCTCAGTAATGGACTGCCCTACTCCTTCCATGTCCCAGCCCCCGGTTGAATCCCCAGTACTGCCCCAAACAAACAAATCCTTTGTTTTAGCTAGTAGCAGGGGGAAGCTTCTATTGTAGGATCCCCAGAAGGCTCTGTATTGGAGGCAGCTGGCACTTGATAAGGTAGAGTCTAAAGCAGGATTGAAGCAGGATTGATCCTGTACTCAGCCACACAGTTAGATGACTACCCTTGCCAACTTTGGATAATTGAAACCTTTATTCTCTGGAGAAGGCAAACATAGGGTCTGCAGTATTTGGAGTTATAATCTTATAGCCTCCAGAATTAACTTGAAGAAGTTCAATCTTTCTGACTCTACCTTTTAAAAAATTTTAGTCCCCGGTTCCAGTCCAGATTTTTGAAAGATCTTCCCAGAATTTTGAAATTGTACAATGATGCATATTAAAATAAAATTTCCCCCGGTACTAGAGATTGAACCCATGGGGCACTCTACCTCTAAGCTACACCCCCAACTCTTTTTATTTTGGGACAGGGTCTCTCTAAGTTGCCCAGGCTGGCCTCACACCTCCGATCCTCAATCTCTAAGAAGTTTCTGGGTAGGTCTATTTTCATCCGTTGGGTTGGGCACCTAATGGGGTCTTTTTTTTTTTTTTAATATATACACTTTTTAGTTGTAGATGGACACAATACTTTTATTTATTTTTATGTGGTTCTGAGGATCAAACCCAATGCCTTACGTGGGAGGTAAGGGCTCTACTGCTGAGCCACAACCCCAGCCCCCTAATGTTGTCTTTTATTCTGGAAATTCCCATCTTCATTTCTAGGAAATGTTTTGAATTTTCCCCTTTTCTTCTGACACTTGTATTATTTAGATATTAGACTTTTAGGACTGGCATTCTAATTTACTGTCTTTACCATTTAAAAAAATTCATTTATTTATTATTTATTTATATATTGTGTTACTGGTGATCAAACCCAAGGCTTTGAGAGCATGCTAGTCTCTCAGAGCTCTCTACCCCTGAGTATACCTCCAATTTTTTGAAATTTAAAGAAAAAAATTTATTGAAGATCTGAAAAACAATTCCTAAAAGATTGCCTTTTTCAGTAAACTAGCTATTGAAGTCAAAATGTATATATGAATAACAAAAATTATGAAATAAGCCACCACTCTTCAACAATCTGAGCAAAAATGCATCTTTCCTTTTAATATTTTTAATTTTAATATTTTTTTGAGTTTAAAAAATTCTGCCAGCACGTTTTCATTTTAAAGCTGTCATTTGTTTTTTGAATGTTCATTCCTTGAAACAGTATGTTCTTTCACTAATACAATATTGTAAGCTCCAAGGATATTAGTGATTTTTCTTGTTTAAATCTTGCTTTCTTTCCTTTGTGTATGCATGATGCTAGGGATAGAACCCAGAGCCTTGCATGAGCCAGACAAGCACTGTACCACTAAGCTACACCCCCCAGCCCTTTATCTTGCTTTCTTCTTAACATATAGCCCATTTTCTCAAGTTTTTTATTTGTTTTGCTTGCCTATGTTGGTCTCTTTCATATTAAGGGTTTTCTTCATTTGTCTGATGGCTTTGACTGCTCATACTCAGGAATGTGACATTAAATGGTTCACAGAAGCTCTATATATCTGGCCAAGATCTTCACCATGGGTGATGTGGCTGGCCTATCACCTTGGGAAACTCTCAGTGTTATCTTCCTTTCTTTCCTGGACGGTCCGATATCTCAGAAAAATTCTTCCAGTGTTCTGCAAAGAAGACACATTCCTGTCTGCCAAGGTTCTGGAAACCAAATGAGACAGGTGAAGGAAACCTAAATATTTCATTAAAGACTTTATAAGTTTGTTCTTAATCATCCTGTTTCCAGTATAGCAATTTCAGCAACAGTCAGAAAAGTAGAAGGTATGCAGGATGGAGCTGAAAATGGGGGAAAGAGCATCACCTGACCATTGTTTCTGAAATGTGGTGGTACCTTGATAAATGAAGAGTATTCGTCTCTTTTCCAGTGCTGCAACTCTTTATGTTTTATAACCACATCCCACT